GGACTCACATTACAAGTTGCAGAAACTGGCGATATTTTTCCATAACACAATTAATTAAGTCCTTGAATGATAAAAATCGAATCACCTTTTGCTTTTAGTCCAAGCATGAATGTGTGTGTGTGCTTGTGTGTGAAATTGCTCTTTCCTTACCCAGAAAAAATATATCGTTGATATAATTAAACTTGAAAGCACCACCACATTGGTTGGGTGATGGGTAATTATTTAAAATGAAACATATTACCTACTGACAGGGACAAGAGACCAAAGCTTTTTCCCCACATTTTAGTGATTGGCGTCTTTTAAAAATCCTGAGTTAAAGGGAAACAAATATGAATCCCTTGAATAACTTTATAAGGAAATAGACAATGACTTGTATGTCAATATTGAAAAGACAGAGATATTTATTGTAAAATTAGTTCAAATTAGTTATTTCTTATAGAGTATTAAAATTGCCCTCAATAAAAGTCATTAATTGGCTAAGAAGAATTATAGTTTTTAGATAGGGATATTAGGTTCAAAAAAGTAATGCTTTGTATAAAACATATTGGAGGTCTTCATAATAAGAACAAGCTAAGAGGAAGTGATTATTTAATATTTAGTAGTACTACATGAGATGCAAGTAATATATATATATATATATATATATAAAATTAGAGAGGTGAACCATCTAATATGATTATTTTTATGAATAATGTTTGAGTCTCTCAACCTTTTATTAAAAAGAAATTGATTTTCTTTCACTTAGTTAGGGTCTGCATGGCATGAGTGAAATGAAAGAGAGGAAAGGAGAAGGAAAATTCTAATAAGTTTGATTTTAAAAACTAAAGAAGTTGAATTAAAAATTTTTAATTAATTTTTTTACTCTTTGATCTTTCTAAATCAAACTCATTAAAATTTTGTCACCCCTCCATTTCCCTCCTTTGACCAAACCAAGGGTTAATCCATATTTTTTTGTGGGCCAGCTTTCACCTAGTCTAATTACTATATTTTTTATGTATTGAGTATCATAATGCTTCTCATGTAGAATTCACAATGGGAAAATCCTACCAAACCTGATATATATATATATATATATATATATAGTCTTAAAAAAGAAAACAAATTTTTCCAGCTATATCAAGAGTTTTTTTTTGATAGAGGTGGAAAGAATTAGTCTTTTTTTTTTTACTAGGCATATGATCCAATAAGAAGTAATTTTGTTTGAAGCGCTATTGGGTACTAAATATAAACACCTCTCTCATTAGGGTTAGAATTTAAACTTTGACTCGTCACTCTGTGGGAGATTAACTTTTTTTGCTGGACCTAGCATTTATTGGTAATAGGAGTTCTAATGAGCACCAAGTATATTGGATTGGGCCATTCACATAATTGGGCCAAGCTTCCTAAATGAGCAGCAGATCGGCCTTGGAATCCACATATCTATTCCGATAAAAACAGAAAAACTAAAATAAACCATGGAAATGCCCCATAATGAAATTCAAATTTACTTCATGAAGCTGAAAAAATTAATAAATAATATTATAATATTTATTTTAATATAATTTTTAATAGTATACTTGAATATGGATCCACAATAATTAAAAAAAAGAGAGAGAGGTTAAAAAGTATAAATTTATAGTGGTTTTATACTGCCATTAGATTTTTGTTTACCATCATATATTAGTTATGAAAATTTATGAAAAATTTTATTTTTTTAAATTATAATTTTCACAACAGATCGGCCTTGGAATCCACATATCTATTCCGATAAAAACAGAAAAACTAAAATAAACCGTAGAAATGCCCCATAATGAAATTCAAATTTACTTCATGAAGCTGAAAAAATTAATAAATAATATTATAATATTGATCTTAATATAATGTTTAATGGTATACTTGAATATGGATCCACAATAATTTAAAAAAAAAAGAGAGATTAAAAAGCATAAATTTATAGTGGTTTTATACTGCCATTAGATTTTTGTTTACCATCATATATTATTTATGAAAATTTATGAAAAATTTTAGTTTTTTTAAATTATAGTTTCCAAAAATAATTAATATGAAAATCATAATCACCTATCATTATTTATTTACTAGTAATCAAAAGAAGGGTCATTTTTAACTTTTTGCTATTTATTTTTTTGGGTAGAGATGGAAATAGGCTAGGTTGGCTAGGCTTTAGCTAAGTAGGCCTGGGCCTATAATAGATATATGAAGTATGAGCTTGGGACTAAACTTGCATATAGGCTTTTACTAGGTCTGAACCTGAGCCTTTAAAGGACCTGATAAGGCCTGAAGCCTGTTTAAATGTCTACTTAAAATGTAGGCTTTTAAATGGGTTTAAAAATCTATGCCTTCAAATTCATATATAACACTTCAAACCTATTTAAAAACCTATGTTATGTCTTAAAAGTTTAAAATCCATTCTCACTTGTAATATAAGAGTCTAGCAAGAAAAAGAAAAGAATTCATAGTGACAACAGTTGTCAGATCAAGTAGAAATTAGAAAAACCAATCATCTATTGACTAAATAGATATATTTTTTAAAGATTAACCAAGCACAACAACTAGCATATAAAATTGGATTTTACTTCGTTTGGTTTTTTTACATAAATTGGGCAAAGTCTTCCCACTGAGATTATAATATTTTATTTAGGTATCATTAAAATAAACTTACAACAATTGTTATGCTTTAGCAAACAACAAAAATCAGGGCAGTGGAAGTAAGCTAACCTTGTCATATTGAGCGATAGGAAAAAAGAGAGGTAGAGGTGAATGACTAATTAATGAAAAGGGGTTGATCTTATATAGGAATGTTATGATATGAAACCTAGGGTCAAACTAAAGTTTGTAATTTTATAAATAATTTATAAAATTGATTTATATTATATAATATATAATAACACAAATTTAATTTAAAAAAACTAAATAGGTCAAGACTGTAGGCTTGTACACACTGTCTTATGAAATTAAGCCTAGCCTGTTTGCTTAAATAGGCCTAGAAATATGCCTGGATATGAATCTAGCCTATTTACTAAATAGACCAAGTAAGGCTTTATGTAAGTTAGGCAGTAGACCCCTGATAAAGGCCTAACATATTTCCATTGGGTGAGAGCCAGCTGATTTTGTCAAATTGGTGTCTAAGGGGACTTTTCTAGTTTACAAAATTGTTAATTGAGAAAATCTAAAAATCGAGTAGTAAATAGTAGTGATAAGTTTATAATTAATTTAAGCAATCTACGGGTCAATTTTTTAGGCTTTTATTAAATTATAAACTGAAATTCATTTTTATTATTCTATATTATGCTTTTAAATAACAAAATAGTAAATTTTTTTAATATTTAAATTATTTTTTCTACACATACAAAATTTTATGAGATATCTTATCAAACATCATATGTTAATAATCTGCTGATTTAAATACTTTATTTTTTTATACACCCCATGTAATATATAAGTGCTACCCGTTCCATTCATATTGAATATTTTGTTATTAATAAAGAATTGGTTATCTTTTTTTTTTTTTTAAAAAAAATATATACAATAAAGAATTGGTTATCTATGTTCATAGAGACACATGTTATAAAACTAAAGAAAGAGTAAAAAATAAAATAAGAAAATAAGAGAGAATAGAAGACAGGGGTATTTCTTATTCCATTTAAGGTTGCTAAATACATTATACATAACATCTATTTATAGGCACAACTTTACAATTACATAATAATAGGAGATAATTGTAGGATAAAGAGATAATGAGATATATTAGAGATTATAGGAGATATAGAAGATAATAAGAGATATATAGATATTCACAAAAATATTATTATATCTATAACAACACAAACATCGTCTTTTTTCTTTTGAAAACAAAGGAACGGATATAACATACAAGAGAGAAACTGAACTCTATCTAATTTTATTTTCTTGTTTTACTCCCTTCGTTTCTTTTATAAGCATCTAATTAATGATAACTTTACATAAATTAATAAATTAGTTAAAACAATAAGTTATTTTGTTTGTAAAATATCAAAATTACCCTCAATAAAAGTCATTAATCAGAGGAGTTTGATTAATTAGCTCAGAAGTTTTATAATTAGTTAAGGATATGGGCGGAAAAAAATTAATGTTCTAAACAAAAAATGTTATATTTTAAAACACGGCTTCCTCAGTAGAACGAGTTTTGGTGCTCATCACTGTAATGAGATCTAAATCATTCAAAATCAGTTTTAATGATCTAGAATTAAAATTTTCAACTATTAATTTTTAAACAAAAAATTCATTTTTTTTAAAAAACTTATACTTAAGAGATTACATTTATTTTGGATTATGTACTTATTAAAAGAAAAATGTTTTTTTAGAAAAACAAAAATATTAAATATTAAATCTCGACCGTCTATATTAAATTTGAATAGTTGAGATTTGATAAGTATCATGGTGCTCAGTATCTTTCTTTTTGGAATATATAGGGGGTGTTTGGTAATCTTCAAACCATGATTTCAGAAGCACTTTTCAGCAAAATGAGACAAATTCCTCCACATATTTACTTCGTAAACCGTAAAAGCATTTCTAAAACCATAGTTTGGTTTCTATCTAAACACCCCCATAGTCACATTGATATAGAAATTTTGAAAAAGCCTGTGGAGTCACAGTAATCTAATGTTACACGTTTCCATGTCTCAAAGAGCAATCGGTGGATTCCAACCCGATGCATGATGCAACACCCAACCCAGCAGGCCAACACGAATTAAGATAACATTATAGTAGCACAAAAGCAGAATAATATATCATATTAAAAGCTGTGATATATTATTATAGTAATATGAATACTACACAGGAGGAAGAAATGAATCTGTACTTGGCTTTATCCTTTTCTCAATCCTTAATCCAACTATATATATAAACTGTAGCAGCTGGAATAATCGATACTTTTGAGAAAATCCTCGTCCTTTTGACATTCTTCTATATATATATATATATATATATATATATATATCAGTGGACTTCAATTCCATAAAATAATGGAATTAGGGTTAGATCTCAAGATCACCAAAACCAGACACGACATGACCTCCATTGTTTCTAACCTTCATTTCGCCCAAGACAGTAAAGGAGGATATGTCTTCTTCTTTAAAGAAACTGATACCAACTTCATCCTTCATGCCCATCTCAAAGGTAGGTCTCATGATGATTAATTTTCTTTTCTCTTACTTTAATTTCTTTAATTCTTTTTTTTTTTAATCGATAAAGTAGACATTGTGAAGATTTATGCATGCAGGGTATAAGAGAAGGAACATTGAGATCAAGATTAATGAAGATGGGAGTGAGCTGTGGGTGAGTGGAGAGAAGACAGTGGATGAAATGACCGTAATGCCCTTGAAGATGAAGAAAGAGGAGGAGATGAACATGAGAGAGTTCACAAGGATGTTTAAAATCCCAGAAGGGGTGGTCTTGGATGGGATCAAAGCAATATACGACGAAGATGAATGGAAGTTGACGATTGTGATGCCTAAAATGGCGAAGGGATTTCTTAGTAGGGTTGGGATTAAAGAACCAGAAGATCCAAGTGAAGTAGATGAGAAGAAAGAAGAGTTTGAAGAAGAGGAAGAGGAAGAGGAAGAGGAAGCTCTAATGAAGAAGAAGCGTCAAAAACAAAGGAGGCCATGTTTTCCTTTGATGCTTGGAGGATCCGCTTTTCTTTTGTCTCTTATATTATTTGCTATACGCTTTATCAGATTCAAACACAAATAACTTCATAATTCAAACATTCTAAGCCTTCTTCTTCTTCTTAACGTTCTTAATTCTATACCGAGATAGAGAGTCATATAGAAGAATGAAATTATATGAATCCAATGTATTTTACCTCCCTAACCTCATTCACTTTTGGATTTTACATCTATTAAAATTAAAAACTATTAAAAATGAAAAAAAATAAAATAACATTAAACATTTTTTAAGAACAACAAACTGGGCAATGAGCATGCACAAATTAAGTGATAAGTTCGTTTTATAATGGATTGAAAAATATTTTTGCCCTTAAAGTATTCTTAGGGGAATATTGAACATTCTAAAGGGTTAATATCGTTGTGTTGACAGGTTAATCCAAGTCATGATTAAAGAACACTTTCATTAGCCCAAGAACATAAGTTAATATTTATACTCCTGTGCCTCCAATATTTAAGCAATGTGGCATTTGTTTTTTTTTTTTTGACACACCCACACTATAACTACAATACATTGTTCTCATAATTTACATTCATTTTGATTTAGTCTCAGGTACTTGAAAGTCTTGTTTTTGGTTTCTTACATTTATTTCATTTGAAACATTAGTCCTTTTATTTTTAAAAAGACGTGGATCAAGAGTCAACAACCGTTAATCATTAACACAGTTTTTTTTTTGGGTTTATGTGGATTCCGACGGAGCAACCGAGATGGCAAAACATCTTCCTCTCTACCTTCTCTCACTCCTTTCTTACTGCTCTCTCCCCTCCGTTCCCTCCCTCCTGGGATTAAGAATTGTCTTTGAAATTCACACACGCAGACACACAATCATTACTATTTATGGAAACATTCTCTTTAATTTGTTGGCATGCTTCATTCCACAAAACTTTAACGTTAAAGTATATATTTAGTTTTTTAATTTTTATGCAAGATTTTAGTTTAGTCCATTAACTTTTAAAAACATATTTTTAGTTTTTTTAACTTTAAAATTGTCAGTTATTGTTAGAAAAATTGGAGAATGGATCGAAAACATACCGGGTCGGATCTCGGGTCGGGTCGGTCGGATCTCCTTAGCTCACGCTTAAGCTAGACTATAAAAGTCTGAGCTTTTAAGTGCACAGCAGAGCACCACTTTTACAAGAAAGAAAATTAAGAGAGAGAGAGATAGTAGGAAAGCTCTACTACTGGAGTGATTTGAACTGATGGGAGGAAGCCTCTATTTATAGCTTTTGTCAGGGATATTTTGGGTAGCATAAAAATATCCACTGAGCCCATCAGATAAAATCTGAGATAAGATATAATATATCCTTATCTCATAATATCATGATATTTTGAATTCAAATCCAGAATCAATCTTAATTAATTCTAAATATATATACTTAATATATATTTAATCTATACAATATAAATTAATTAATTTAATATAAATTAATTAGATTTATATCGTAACCGATTGGATATGATTCAGGATGTTTGACCAAGTCAAACATATCATGATATCGCTTGGATATTTGACTGATATATTCTCTTTATACCGGGTCAAATAATCCGGCCCATCAAGGGCGGATCCAAGCCCAAAAATTTAACAGTTATAAATGACAATTTTTTTTGTAACAATCATAGTTATTTTGAAAATTAAAATTAATTTGTTAAAATTTGAAAATATTTTATTAACATTCAAGATCTCAATATCATTATTCTTTTGTTAACAGTACTAAGGTTAAATAAATAAAAATATACTTTTAAAAATTAGAGAATAAATTAAAATTTTATGTAAGATTAAAGGATAGTTATAATTTAAACCTAATCATCCATCAAGCCCAGAATCCCCCTTTTCATTTATTAATTAGTGATGAGTTGAGCCCAAACACCCAAATGGGGGCAGTCCCGATGGGCATATAAAGCACGATTTATTGGGTCTCACACAATTTGTTGCGATATTTGCACCAACACATGTACATTGATGTGTTCTTGATTGGTGGCGCGGTATGAAAGGAATTGCTGTCCCAGCCACCATCAGCAATATTTGTAGAGCCATGTTCTCACATAAACCGGGGAGAGAGAGAGGAGAGAGAGAGAGAGGGAGAGAGAGAGAGAGGAGAGAGAGAGCAGTTTCTGCAGAAAGAGTTGAACAGGTTCCAATGATGCGACACTTCGGACGTTGATGCAGGGGAGGAACGCCATTAAATGATTAGTTGTTTAATAAATCCACATGGCACTTATTGATCGGAGAATTGGATCTACTGGATGTAAGACACTGGAGGTAAGTTTTCTCCTATTAATTATACTACCTCTGGTTATTAATATAAGATCTTATTTGACTTTTATTTTGGTCCTAAATATAAAAACCCAATTCATTTGTCTCTCATATTTATCTAAATTTTTCCAAGATAGTTGTTCTAATAATAGTAGTTCTAACTAATAAACTAGATTAGCAAGAATATTTAGAAAAAACAACACATATTTATAACAAACAACGAACTTAACTTATTTTCTTAATCTACTCAAATTAGTCAACTAGCTCTTATATTTAGGACCGGAAGTAATAGCTTTTAAGTTGCAACAACATATCAAGTTGCTAAATTATCATTATTATTATTCTATGATTAATTTCCCTTATCCTATTTCTTTGGATGATACTTCTCAAGTGCTAGATATAAAACTTATTTTATAGTACTATTTATATTATAAAATAAATTTTATACTTAGTATCGAAGAAGTACTAAATATTCAGAAGACAGAGAATTGGATGATGGCAAACACGTTCTGCAACCTTTCGGACCTGTCGGCATATGTGTGTGTGTAGCCGGTCATGACGATGAATCCGGACCTTGCTTTATCTACATGGCAATATCTGCCCATCTGCATAAGGATTTAATTAAAAAAATTTATAAGGGCTTGATTCAAAATTTGGTTAAATTATGGGAAAATTTCACTGTAGGACCGCAGAAGACAAAAAATTTCAAAGAGCCCCCAAAACATTCTGAAATCTCACTGCAGGACCAAGGGGCCAATCTAATATTAATTCCACAAGCGAAATGACGCCACTGCCCCTAATGAAGACTTATTTCCTCCGAAAATGAGACATATTATCAGCGGGTGTAAAAGACGGAAAGGGAGGAGATGGCGTTATTTCCTGCCTCTCCCATGCAGCGCGCCGGTGCGGAAGGGAGATAGCTGACAACCATGAGCTGAGAAAACGCAGTGGCGGAGCTTCACTTTTGCGGTCCGTCCCTCCGCCGTCTTTCGGACTCCAAGCTAGAGTTGGTGCAAGAGAGAGAAGTCGCAAGTGTGCCCTACAGTGTTGCGTGTTCTCTGGAAGTAGCGTCAGGTTGGCGTGGGAGGTAAGATTTTGTTGTTAAAATTTTGGTTTTGTTGGTGTGATTCGGTTAGCACAGGTGGGTTGTGATGGGTGAATGAGGAAGAAATGAGTATTTAAGTGCATGGGCATGTAGGTTGGGAGTGAGTTGCAAATCTTACGGTTTTATGGTTTAAGAAATTCATGCTGATGCTGTTTTAAGTTGTTAAAGATGTGGTGTTTGTGATGTTTTCAAAAGTGGGTGCATATTGAGAATAATGCACTGCTGAAGGAACATAGGTAGGCGAAAAAGAAAGGGAAATGGGTGTGTGGCCTGGAATGGGTTATATGACAGGTAGACGCGCAGAGGAATGGTGAAAATACATAGTACGATGGTAAATTTGGTAATTCTGGTTGTGTGTGCGAGAAAAAGCAATATAATGTTGTGAAAATACTAATTCTTGTTGTCAATTGTCAAATTGCTGATGTAAACGTACGTTGTGTCATACTTGAATGATGTGCAGCAGCAGAGGATAAATGGCTAGCAGTAGTAGGAAACAAGTATTTTGCATCTTTCATGTTAGAGGGCACTTTGTAAAGACCTCAGAAGGGAAATTCATTTATGAAGGGGGCATCATTACTGGAAGATTGATTAGAGAAGGGATGACATATGAAGAACTACAATGCATGGTAGCTCATGATGTGTGGCCAGGGACTCGTGAATATAAAATGAAGTACACAGTTAGCTTTGACCGGGATACATTCTTGGATCTTGTTGACGATATTGGTGTTGGACAAGTAATTGAGTACAACAATAGTAGTGGCCATGTTTATGTTTGTGAGAATGAGAAAGACTTCACACAAGTGTCACAGCTGGACAGTGTACAAGAGTAAGTTGTTCTCAACTGGTTTTATTAAGATTGTGTGTAGGATAAGAAAGAATATGTCCAATTTTGATAAATTGAACTGTAATACTGAATAGCTGTATTTGTTTATGCAGGTTAGATGATTTGGTTGGCCCTTGTGGAATGTCAGTATCTGCAATGGAATTGGATCTAGACACAGACAACATAAACATATCTTCCGTACAAGATGTGCCAACACTGATAGGAAGTGTAGGTATGGAAACGTTGCCAACCCCAATAGCGGTGATGAATTCATCAAAGTGGGCAGATTTGTTGATGTCAAGAGGGCAAACCTTTGTTAGTGCTGAACATTTTAGAGAGGCATTATATAAGTATAGCCTTGCACACAAGTTTGGTTACCGGTACGTAAAGAATGATAGGCATAAGATGATTGTGAAGTGCTGTGTAGATGGTTGTCCCTGGGAAATTTCAGCATATGGTGTAGGTGAGAATAATGGATTCCTAGTTGTGAGAAGATTTAACTATGAACACTTGCATTATGCACAAGACAACTTAGTTGTCCCTCAGAGAAAGAGGTGCAAACTTGCTTCAGCAGTCATAATAGATGAGTTGATTTCTTGCATGCACAAAGCTCCAAATGACATTAGACGGGATTTGGAAAGAGAGTATGGGTTGAGGCTCAACTACCAACAAGCATATAGGGCGAAAGAGAAAGCATTGGAAAAAATTCATGGTTGTCCGCAGGAGTCTTATATGCTAATCCCTTGGATATGTGAAAGGCTGAAGGAAAGTGATCCAGAAACGGTAGCAAAGTGGGTTGCATCATCAGATAATAGATTTCAAGCTGTATTTATTGCATACGGTTGCTGTGTAGAAGGGTTTTTGAAAGGTGGCAGACCTGTATTATATGTGGATGGATGCCACTTGAGTGGTCCGTACAAAGGAACGTTATTGGGAGCACAAGCGTATGACGCGGATAATGAATT